TATGATTGAGTGGAGATAAGAAAGAATAAGACGAAGACTTTAGTAAAGTGATGAAGAAGGGTTTGACCGAAAGCTTCCTTCAATCAAGTAAATAAATAGAGTTGAGAGACGTCTTATGATTTTCTGTAATATCACTATTGATAATAAGGAGCGTAATAAAAAGTTGTACGTTAACAAGCTTGTCTGTTTTTGGAATACTTATGTTATAGGGAACAAGACATTCCATGATATAAAGAGACAAAGGTCGGCTCTCCCGTCAAAATAGACGTCAAAACTAGAAGCAATCTATTGACCGTCGCCGCAACTAGCGGCCTCGGGTCGGTGACAAAGCTTTGACGTCAATAGAATTATGTAGGTATGTGACGCTGAGTTTGTTGTTGACACACATTATAATACAATATAATACACTGCGGCGTGTGATTGTAAAACAACACATGAAGTTTCACCACATGAGTTTCTTTTCAATGAAAAATCAAAATTTATTTCAAGGTGAAATATTGACTATTTCTAACCTTTTTGGATGAGGTATGAAAGGGTGAATTATGAAGAGTAATGATGAACGGAAAAATACGTCCAGGGTAGCCTAGTGGACATGGCATCTGCCCGGTAAGCGGAACATTGTGGGTTCGATTCCCATCCCTGGACACTTTTATTTTTCCGTTCATCATTACTCTTCATAATTCACCCTTTCATACCTCATCCAAAAAGGTTAGAAATAGTCAATATTTCACCTTGAAATAAATTTAGATTTTTCATTGAAAAGAAACTCATGCGGTGTAACTTCAAGTGTTGTTTTACACATTATAACACCTTGATAAAGTAAGAAAAAGGCATCTCCTTATCGTGCAAATGACCAATTTTTTGGTCGTTGAGGTACAGCTTGCACCACGCTGATGAGGGCCAACAACCCGAAACGCGTCCGTGGTTAGCTTTTCTTGATTAATCAAGAATGGGTATTTGGCCAATTCTGAAATAATTAAAAATCAACGAGAATAGTTTATATTTATTCCGATGGATGGCGCAAGCCATCAGCAACTTTCAGTTGCACGATAAGGAGATGCCTTTTTCTTAATTTATGCACCTTATCCCAGTACAATGTCACATTTGTACTATTTTTTTCACCTTGATAAAGGTTGGCGTTCAGCCAACTGAAATATTGGTAAAATAAATGATATTTTGATCCAATATATGTATTTTTATTTAAAGATTTATTTATGGATTGCTCTATTCAAAATATATATATATAAATATATGCGGCGCTAATGCATCATAATAAAATTCAATTTTTAAAGAAAAGAGTTATAAAAGAAGTAGTACTAAAGCGTGTTTATCCCAGATGTCTACGTTCCAGTAGATTGAGGTTGCCAGTAGCTCTCGTCTGATAAAAGATAGGAACTCGGGGGACAAATTCGCCACAATATAATCTCTATTTCAACAATGGGAGTTGATAAGGAGAGATAAGAACGGATGGAATAGTTAAGTCCTGGCTGGATGTTTGGCATTGGAAGTGAATGCGGCCATTGTTGGAAGATACGGTTGTGGGTGAATTGTTGCGGCGGTTAGCTTTTCCTAGGTTGGATGGTTTTTAAAACATTTGTTGGAACTTTTGAAAGTAGGAATATTTGTACTTATTACTGAAGTAGACGTATTATAGGTGATGATTATCATGGTGATTGATTGTACTGTAAGTACGCTACATGCTTACACATGTAGTACCAGACCATGGTGGTAGAGGATTGTGACTACTATATGTACGCCACATGTCTACACATGTAGTACCAGACCATGGTGGGTAGAGGATTGTGACTACTATATGTACGCCACATGTCTACACATGTAGTACCAGACCATGGTGGGTAGAGGATTGTGACTACTATATGTACGCCACATGTCTACACATGTAGTACCAGACCATGGTGGGTAGAGGATTGTGACTACTATATGTACGCCACATGTCTACACATGTAGTACCAGACCATGGTGGGTAGAGGATTTTATTGCGTATGATATTGTTTTTTACAGCACAATACAACAATGTTGGCAAGTTTCTCTAGAGTGGAATGTCGAGGTGACTACTATATGTACGCCACATGTCTACACATGTAGTACCAGACCATGGTGGGTAGAGGATTGTGACTACTATATGTACGCCACATGTCTACACATGTAGTACCAGACCATGGTGACTGCTTGTACTGTAAGTATATCACATGTCTACACATGTAATACCAGGCCATGGTGGCTTGAAGGCTGTACTGTAAGTATATCACATGTCTACACATGTAGTACCAGGCCATGGTGGCTTGAAGGCTGTACTGTAAGTACGCCACATGTCTACACATGTAGTACCAGACCATGGTGGGTAGAGGATTGTGACTACTATATGTACGCCACATGTCTACACATGTAGTACCAGACCATGGTGACTGCTTGTACTGTAAGTATATCACATGTCTACACATGTAGTACCAGGCCATGGTGGCTTGAAGGCTGTACTGTAAGTATATCACATGTCTACACATGTAGTACCAGGCCATGGTGGCTTGAAGGCTGTACTGTAAGTATATCACATGTCTACACATGTAGTACCAGGCCATGGTGGCTTGAAGGCTGTACTGTAAGTATATCACATGTCTACACATGTAGTACCAGGCCATGGTGGCTTGAAGGCTGTACTGTAAGTACGCCACATGTCTACACATGTAGTACCAGACCATGGTGACTGCTTGTACTGTAAGTACGACAAACAGGAGCAGAAGACAGAAGTTGGTAGAACCTTCTAGAATCTTCCACAAAGTACACCGGCAGTAAGCAGCACTCCGACCTCTTGAGACAGCAGCTTGCTTGGAGTCAACCACGTAGCTTCGTTCTTCTACCCAGCATGAGTTCCTCATCCCTATATATCTGGGAGTAGATCTTTCCAGAACGCTCATGGTCAGTCAGCCAATCAGAATGCAGCCAGCTCTAAAAGTTGCATAATCAATTTAGATTGGCCAATCAGTTGTTCTCCGATTGTTCTACCTTATTCTAGAACGTTTCACAACCTTTCTGGAATGTGTTTTTTTTTTAATTCTATGTAACAATATAATGATAAACCAGCTCCCACACTATTGATGCATTTCCTGATCTTATTTCAACCACCTTTCTAATGAGAGACAACCTCAAGAAGCGACCATGGTCTCCCCTACTCTACCATATCTAGTAATCCATTAAATCTCAACACAGTCTCCTAGAGCAGGGATCGGCAAAATTTTGAGTCGGAAGATTTGCAATTTACAAAATTTCAAAGTTTTTGAAGAACCACAAAATGTTTTCGTAAAGATAGAGGCTGCCTAGCCGGCATTCATAGTTCTTCGAATTAAAAATACTTCGGCCAGTAAATCTTTTATTGTCTCGACATTTCGACAAAATTATTTTGTCCTCGTCAGGAGCGAACAAAAATTAAAACATTTGGCAAAGCGTTAAAAATTTTGTACCCTCCTGACGAGGACAGAATATTTTTGTCGAAACGTTGAGGCAATAAAAAAGATTTACTGGCCGAAGTGTCTTTTATTCGAAGAATAGAATGTTTTCTTGCCAACAATAAATAGCACTAGCCTAAATAAATATTTACGTATAAAATGAAAGGATTTAAAAGCACGAATGTTTCTTTTATGCATAATACAAACTTCTACTATTCTTACTGCGATGAAAAAATATATTGGGAGGGCTTGGCTCATCAGTGGTGAACCCTCCCAGCGGTTTAGCCAATTTAATCCACCAGACCGCTTCTCAGAGCTCTAATACTGTATTGGACGATTCTGCTTATATACGCAGCACTTATATACACACAGTATTAGAGCTCTGAGAGGCGGTCTGGTAGATTAAATTGGAGAAACCGCTGGGAGGGTTCACCACTGATAAGCCAAGCCCTTCCAATATATTTTTTCATCGCAGTAAGGACAGTAGAAGTTTGTATTATGTATAAAAGAAACATTCGTGATTTTAAATCCTTTCATTTTATATGTATAGATGGCGCGTTATTGCTTTGTGTTAAAATATTTATGTGTGGAACTATTTAATTAAAAATACATATTGGATCAAAATATCATTTATTTTACCAATATTTCAGTTGGCTGAACGCCAACCTTTATCAAGGTGTTATAACATTTTAAAGTGTGTCAACAACAAACTCAGCGCCACATAACGTCAACAGCATTAAGTTTTTTAAAAATATTCTGTTATATTTAATGGGGAGAAAAAATTTGATATATATATTTATATTGTGGACAAAATAATTTTTATAAAATAAGGGTGTGAATATTTTGAAAATTAACAATAACGCCTATTTTATATTTAAAATTATCTGTACTATGTGTTAAAAGATTTTTCGTATAAAAAAATAAAAATAACAAATTATATATAAAAGAAATGTTAAACTAAATATTTTTTACCGAAAACACAAAGCGTATGGAACTATATAAAGAGCTTCACATCCAAAGAGCTGTATGTGTCTCACAGTTTACTGACATCTGTCCCAGTGGAATTGTCTAAACTTACCAGCAGGTAGTCGGCGAAGTTTGTCTTCTCTGAGGTATCCTTCGTTGACCATCTGGGGAACTCCCAGTCGTAGTCCACGCCGTCGACTTCAAGACGTCTGGCATACTGGATGGTGGTCTGGGCCAGCCTGGACAACACCTGTCTGTCTTCACGTTGTCACGTGGGAAATACACAACAACAACAACAAGGCTTTTATTATATATGTAATGTAACCATGCAATGTAAGTATGTATGCAATGTGTGAGTATGTAATGTATGCAATGTATGTATGTATGTATGTGATGTGATAATGCAATGTATGTATGTGATGTACTTATGCAGTGTATGCAAATAATGTATGTATGTAATGTATGCCTATAATGTATTGTATCTACTTATATAATTGCCTTATTCTGTCTGTGTGAAGTTCACTGTGTTGAAGTTCACGGATAGATTTTGGTCAGAATGGATAAAATAAAAAAAGTGTCAAGGGATGGGAATCGAACCCACGACCTTCCGCTTACCGGGCAGATGCCATGACCAGTAGGCCACATGACCACAATTTATAATTGTAACAAATAGTATTTGAATCAAAACATTCAATCAGGTAAAACACTGGCGTTGCCCGGGTCATTCGGCTAGTACTTAATAAATGTGTATAAGATATATATTTAATATATGTATATAATGTATATGCAATGTATGCATATAGTGTATGTATGTAATGTATGTACATTGCCCTGTATGGATTCGCCATACAACAACAAAACAATACAATAATTTTTTCTCTTTTTCCACCATGTGTACGTGAGCCTTTGTTTGAAAAGGGATTTATTTACACATCTGTTATAAAACTTTTCTCACTACCTCTTTTGTGTATAAATCTATTTACAATTGATCTGTAGATAATTATAGAATTCTATTGCTATATTTTTCTTTTCTGAAATAGTTCTCAGCGTCTTCAGTGGGTTTCTAAGTCTCCAGAAGGTGTTTTTAAGAGTTTGGGAAATATACTTTAAGACAAAAGCAACTAATCGTTCTCAGAGGAGCGCGTTCAGGACTTCAGGATTCTATACGATAAGTATAATACTGTCTCCACACTAAACAGGACCTTTGGGAGAGGCCGCTGCTTATCATAAAAACAGATCGAGGAGCATGAACTCATGGAATTCGTGTAATCTTTACACGTTTCAGTTACACGATAAGAAGATGCCTTTTTCTTAATTTATCCACTTGATCCCAAGTACAATTTCACATTTGTTCTATTTTTATCATAGACTAGCGGAGGTACCCGGCTTCGCCCAGGTTTAACTCGAGTGAAAGTTTGCCTAGCGAATATTTGATAAACATATTTTCCGAGCAAACATCCTCTCTCTAATGAATCGATTTTTTATGAATATATATAACCGAATATTGGCAAATAAATCTTTTATTCAATCAAAAGTTCCTGACTAGGACAAAAGATTTTTGTCGAAACGTCGAGATAATAAAATGATTTACTGGCCGAAGTATCTTTAATTCTAAAACTAGAGAAAAACGTGGCAAAATCACTATTCAATAAAGAGAAAGATGAAGAAAAAGATGCTAGAAATTAGCTGAACTGTCTAAAGGAACAATCAGATCATAAAACATGATAGACCTTTTAGATCAAATGATTTTGATCATTAATTTCAATTAACTAAATTTGCATACCAACTCTATGTGCATATTTCAATTGTGTTGATATTTTCTATCTTTTCATCTAACTAAATTGCATACCATCTCTTTGTACATATTTGAATTGTTATAAAATAAATGAAGCTTCCAGGGTTAAGTTTCTTGTGCAACTTTTTTATTTTCAAGCTTTCAGACTTGTCAGTGCTTCAACAGGATTATCACTTTAACAACTTAATAATACATACAATTTTATATACATAATAGTATATACATATTTATAAATACTTATTATATATTAAGAGAAAATATATTACATTATTTTTGTTTGAAATTCAAAATTTTGAAAATATACGTACATGGTGGATGATACGTGCTGGTTGAATGATATCTCGAGACTTCAAATTAAATTTGATAAATTCGTGAACTATTGTGTTATATATAGAAGACATCTATGGGATAGTATTTGTCCATATTGTTTCGTATGTTTCTGATATTTCACTGCATCTGTTTATGCTTTTTGGTTATCATAGATTCTATTATAAGTCTTATTTGTATATTTGATTTGTGTTTATATTTTCTCTATACCTTCTAAATTGCATACTAGCTCTTGTACATATTTCAAATATCTTTCTTTCTATGTTAAGTTTACATCTAAAGTGCAAGTGTCCCTAGTGGGACATAGCGTTCTAAGTCGAAATAAAATGATATATCTGTAAGGAACGACGTTTAACAAGTTTCATTCCAAATGTTTCTTTTTCACAGAACGAAAAATCGTAATTTTTAATTATTTTAAGGAGAAATAACGACTATTCCTATCCTTAGGGATGAAATATGAAGGGATGAAGTATGAAGGGATGAATGGGGAAAGGATGAATTGTGAAGGGATGAAGTATGAAGTGATGAATTGTGAAGGGATGAAGTATGAAGGGATGAAGTATGAAGGGATGAATTGTGAAGGGATGAATTGTGAAGGGATGAAGTATGAAGGGATGAAGTATTTTTTTTTTTTTTTGCTTATCCCTAGTACACGTGGTACAGGCCATGATTATCATGGTGGGTAGTTAGCGACTGCTTTTACTGTAAGTGCACCACATGTCTACACATGTGAAAAGCAGTTCGACTTTGCACTTACAAATGCCAGAGCCCCGTTTGGTTACTTGCACTCGCTGGTAGGGTTGGACTTTTGCAAGAATCGGGGGCCATTGGAGCATTTTTTTTTTTAACCGAAAAAAAGTGCCCAATGCGGGAATCGAACCCGGGTCCTAGTGGTCGACAACCAAACGGTTTACCCAGCCTTCCAAGGGATGAAGTATGAAAGGATGAATTGTGAAGGGATGAATTGTGAAGGGATGAATTGAGAAGGGATGAAGTATGAAGGGATGAATTGTGAAGGGATGAAGTATGAAGGGATGAATTGTGAAGGATGAAGTATGAAGGGATGAAGTATGAAGATATAAAGTATGAAGATATGAAGTATGAAGGGATGAAGTATGAAGGGATGAAGTATGAAGGGATGAATTGTTTTTTTTTTTTTTTTGCTTATCCCTAGTACACGTGGTACAGGCCATGATAATCATGGTGGGTAGTTAGCGACTGCTTTTTTACTGTAAGCGCACCACATGTCTGTCTACACATGTGAAAAGCAGTTCGACTTTGCACTTACAAATGTGCCAGAGCCCCGTTTGGTTACTTGCACTCGCTGGTGGGGTTGGACTTTTGCAAGAATCGGGAGGCCATTGGAGCATTTTTTTTTTTTTTTAAACAGAAAAAAGTGTCCAATGCGGGATTCGAACCCGGGTCGTAGTGGTCGAAAACTAAACAGTTTAACCAGCCTTCCACCGACCCCCCCTCGGGATGAATTGTGAAGGAATGAAGTATGAAGGGATGAAGTATGAAGGGATGAATTGTGAAGGGATCAATTGTGAAGGGATGAATTGTGAAGGGACGAAGTATGAAGGGATGAATTGTGAAGGGATGAAGTATGAAGGGATGAATTGTGAAGGGATGAAGTATGAAGGGATGAAGTATGAAGGGATGAATTGTGAAGGGATGAAGTATGAAGGGATGAATTGTGAAGGGATGAAGTATGAAGGGATGAATTATGAAGGGATGAAGTATGAAGGGATGAATTGTGAAGGTATGAAGTATTAAAGGATGAATTGTGAAGGTATGAAGTATGAAAGGATGAATTGTGAAGGTATGATGTATGAAGGGATGAATTGTGAAGGGATGAAGTATGAAGGGATGAATTGTGAAGGGATGAAGTATGAAGGTATGAAGTATGAATTGTGAAGGTATGAAGTATGAAAGGATGAATTGTGAAGGTATGAAGTATGAAGGATGAATTGTGAAGGGATGAAGTATGAAGGGATGAATTGTGAAGGGATGAAGTATGAATGGATGAATTGTGAAGGGATGAAGTATGAATTGTAACGGGATGAAGTATGAAGGGATGAATTGTGAAGGGATGAAGTATGAAGGAATGAATTGTGAAGGCATGAAGTATGAATTGTGAAGAATAATGATGAACGTAAAAATAAACGATTTGTGAAGAATCTGGAAAAATCTGCATAGTGTACACCTTTACTTTTTTTTGCTTATCCCAAGTACACGTGGTACAGGCCATGATAATCATGGTAAGTAAAAGTAGGCAACTGCTTTTACTGTAAGTGCACCACATGTCTACACATGTGAAAAGGAGAACTAACCATTACTACATTTATAGACATTCTGAAAATAGAGAAATCCATATGTGAGTTTGTTTATACAAAAACGTAATGCCTTGATAAAGTTTGGCGTTTAGCCAACCGAAATATTGGTAAAATTAATCTTTTATTCAATCCAATATATGCTTTTTTATTATCTAATTTATAGAGATGTGTTGTACATACAGTATAAGCTGTCGTGAACCTACCATGAGTATCATGGCCATGACCATAGGATAAGTATTACCATCATTCTATATGAGAAACAGTAACCTAGAAATTATTTGGAAAAGAAATAATAAATAATATTAAGGTAAAGTGAAGAAAAATGATGAACGTAAAAATAAACGATTTGTGAAGAATCTGGAAAAATCTGCATAGTGTACACCTTTACTTTTTTTTGCTTATCCCAAGTACACGTGGTACAGGCCATGATAATCATGGTAAGTAAAAGTAGGCAACTGCTTTTACTGTAAGTGCACCACATGTCTACACATGTGAAAAGCAGAACTAACCATTACTACATTTATAGACATTCTGAAATAGAGAGAAATATTCCATACGTCATCCAATCATATATAGACCATCACTCTTCATATATTCAACCTTTTCATACGTCATCCAAAAAGTTAGAAATATTAGATATTTCTCTTTGAAATTAAAATTGATTTTTCACAAATAAAAGAAACTTATGCGGTTAAACTTTAAGTATTGCTTTATAATATTAAGGTAAAGTGTTTCTTTCAATTTTGATTTTGTAACTTTCGAGCAAATTCATCAAGATAAAATTTACATATAGAGGTGCAGAAGAGACTCAAGAGAGCTCAACTTGATCAACTTTCTCTCTCCACGATACTAATTATTACAGATAACTTCACAAGTCATCCTTTCATACTTCATCCCTAAGGTTGGAAATAATCGTTATTTTTCCTTAAAAATAAATTTATATTTTTCGTTTAAAAGAAACACATGCGGGATAATTTTTAAATGTCGTTTTACAGATAACTTAATCAACTTCCATCATTGCTTAACATACCGTAAATAACTACCTTGAGATTTCTTCTATCTGCTTATGTTGTTGCTTATTTGTTCAATGGATATTGTGGCGAAGAAATAATTTATTATTTAATTTAATTATTCAATGAAAATATTTGGAAACAGATTTATTATTTTTGTAAAATCATCATTTAGTTACCT